CAATCAACAACTTTGGAATATAGACTTTATCTACCTATCAATTTATTTATTTATTTATTTATTTAGGCTGCGTCGGGTCTTAGTTGCGGCATGAGGGCTCTTTGTTGTGGCACGGGCTTCTCTCTAGTTGTGGCATGTGGATTTTCTCTCTCTAGTTGTGGCGTGCAGGCTCCAGAGGGTGTGGGCTCTGTAGTTTGCAGCATGCGGGCCCTCTCGTTGAGGCATGGGAGCTCAGTAGCTGTGGCGTACGGGCTGCCCCGCGGCATGTGGGATCTTAGTTCCCCGACCAGGGATCGAACCCACGTTCCCTGCATTGGAAGGCGGATTCATTACCACTGGACCACCAGGGAAGTCCCTGGAATATGGACTTTAGATGAAAGTATGGTGTCAGTGTTAAATTTCCTGAATTTGATCATCATATCATGGTTAAAATAATATTCTTGTCCTTGGGAAATATGCACTAGAGTATTAAGAAATAAAGAGGCATATTGTTTATAACTGACTCTCAAATAGTTCTGAAAAAAATAAGTTCTGCTTCCAGTGTCCTTGTCCTCATGGTGAGCCACAGCCACCTACTGCCTCTGCAGGAGACCCTCCAACACTAGCAGAAGAAACTACACACCATTGTAAAGCAGTCATACTCCAATAAAGATGTTAAAAAAGAAAGAAAGAAAGAAAGAAAGAAAGTAGAATTTCCACTGGGATCCAACTTGTATTTCTCCTTGATTTGCTTAGAAGAGAATTAAGGTTAGCTTGCATTTCCTGGATACATGAGAACTCTTCTTAGGGAGAAACAACTCCGAAGCATGCTAAACAACAGGGAAGAATTAAAAGTGGAATTAAAAATCATCTGGGCATAAATACTCGCTTTTATGTGTATACACACTTGGGAAAAAAAAAAAAAAAAAAAAAAAAAAAGTTATAGTACATACGTGATGATAAAGAAAATTTGTCAAAATGTGAAAATTGATAAATTCAGGTAAAGAGTATATAGAAGTTCCTGCAACTTTTCTGTAAGTTTGAAATTATTTCAAAATAAAAAGACTTTTTAAAGGTATATAAAGAGAAATGGCCAACTTAGGACCTAGGGTGCATAAGAAGTTCCAGGTATCCAAATTCTGACTTTACTATAGTTTGCACCCTTTCACCCACTCTCCTAAAAAGACTCTTACCCCAACCTTGCCATATCCAAGGTGCCCCACCCAGCTTTTAGCTTCCCAGCCGTTGGCCTACCACCCTGTGAAGTCACCATTTTCCTTCCCCTGTCATGGGGAGGCTAGCCTCTTGAATACTTTGACCCCTTTAAACAAAAGAAAAAACCCACTCCAACATTGTAATTCGCCCAGGTGTTCCCAACGACCTTGTTTCCTGTTTGATGGTAATGCGATTTCTCCAGGCCGAGGGCAAGATGGGTGACCGAACCTGTGAATGCCTTCATTCTTCCCGCAAGCAACAGATCCACAGCATACGGTTAATAAAATGGCCCTGATACCCACACACTATGAATTATGTACACCTGTCAACAGAAGCAGACTAGACCCATGGTTAAGAGCCAGAGGAAGATGGTTTGAATTTGGCTTTGACCCACCACTTAAAAGTTGTGTGACTGGGCTTCCCTAGTGGCACAGTGGTTGAGAGTCCACCTGCCGATGCAGGGGACACGGGTTCATGTCCCGGTCCGGGAAGATCCCACATGCCACGGAGCGGCTGGCCCCGTGAGCCATGGCCGCTGAGCCTGCGCGTCCGGAGCCTGTGCTCTGCAACGGGAGAGGCCACAACGGTGAGAGGCCCGCGTACCGCATAAAAAAAAAAAAAAAAAGTTGTGTGACTGAGAGCAAGTCAACTAGTACCTGGAGCTCATTAATCATTCACTTAACATTACCCACCTTGTAAGTACCAGACTGCACTTTGGGAAGCAATGATACAAAATCTCTGCTCCCAGAGCTTACATTCTAGCTGAGTGAGACCAGGGGAAGTAAGTAAGTAAATAAGTAAATAAGTAAGTAAATAAATAAATACATAAATAATAAATAAATAAATAAAATATAGTGTATGCCAGATGCTTATACATGCCATGGAGAAAAACAAGGCAGATGTAACAACAGAGGGTGAAAATGTAACTTTAGATCAACAATTCAAGGAAGGCTTCAATAAGTCGGTGACATCTGAACAAAAATCTAAAGGCAATAAGGGAGCGAATCATGTAGATGGGTGAACACTCAGGCCGAAGGGGCAGCAGGTGCAAAGGGCCTGGAGCAGGGACAGGCCTCAGTTGAGGGATGATTGCTTTAGTCTTAGGTGGGCTCTTGGAAGGCAAGACAAGGAATTACGCACAGCAGGAGCTCAGTAAATGTTGATGGGAGAGAAAAAGGAAGAGAGAGACTACCATATTGTATCCAGAGATTTTGGGATTGAATTTTGGGAATGGAGGAAAAGAAGAATCCGTTTCATAAAGCTGGAGAAAAATAGGTGATTCACTGATTTTATGTCCTGTCTCTCTAGCCTTCTCTTTTTTATTTTTTTAAATTTATTTAGTTTTGGCTGCGTTGGGTCTTCATTGCTGCATGCAGGCTTTGTCTAGTTGCGGCGAGTGGGGGCTTACTCTTCGTTGCGGTGCGCGGGCTTCTCATTGTGGTGGCTTCTCTTGTTGTGGAGCATGGGATCTAGGTGCGTGGGATTCAGTAGTTGTGGCGCGTGGGCTCAGTATTTGTGACGCATGGGCTTAGCTGCTCCGTGGCATGTGGGATCTTCCCCGACCAGGGATCAAACCCGTGTCTCCTGCATTGGCAGGCGGATTCTTAACCACTGTGCCACCAGGGAAGTCCTCTAGCCTTCTCTTAAACATACTTCAGAGATGGAGATGATTCAAGGAATTTGAAGATTTCATTTTTGTTTTGCTTTCTGGCTTTGCTTTGAGCTGAAAAATAAGGACTTTTTTAGTTTGCTTTTACTATGTTTAAGACATTTTTCAGATAAATAGAACTCTTTAAGATTAGGGCTTGGAGCTCAAATTATTAGTACTCTTAAAACAAATTTATTATTTGGAAGAAATTAGATACCATTTATTGCAAGAATAACAAGTTTATAGGGAAATTATTAGTCATTTATGAATAGAAAATCTTTTTTCCCCCAAATGGTCAAGAGAATTGGGATTGAGATTTGGATGTTCTTTTGCTATGGTTTGTACGGTCTGTATTTGCTTCTTCAAATAACTTTGGATGACTCTTACATGACCACGTTATTGTTTTCATAAATGGTATTTTTAGGAATTGGAAATAACAGAAAGTTCTGGTAGACTTGCCACTTGTCCTAAATAACTTGTGTAGCTAAATGCCTCTTTCCCAAAAAGTGACTGCAAAGCAACATCAGGCCAGGATTTTAAGTGTTAAATGGAGGTTTTTATGTAAGACAGTAGCAATAACAGAAGACATAACAGTGGTTGGTTCTGTTGCTGGGCTTTCTTTTTTTTTCATCTTGGTTTCTGTTGTTTAAATTTACAGAAGGAACATTCTTACTTTTTGGTGTGTGTGAAGATTTTTCAAGAGTGATAAGTGGACAAGGTTCTCGTCTCAAGATACAACCAATGCCCATTTTGTTTTCAGTGTCATTAAAGTATAATTAACTATTTTTTAAAATTAATTAATTAATTAATTTATTTGGCTGCATCAGGTCTCAGTTGCGGCAGGCGGGCTCCGTAGTTGTGGCTCACCAGCTCTGTAGTTGTGGCAATGTGGGCTCCTTAGTTGTGGCATGTGAACTCTTAGTTGCAGCACGCATGTGGGATCTAGTTCCCAGGCCTGGGACCGAACCTGGGCCCCCTGCTTTGGGAGCACGGAAACTTACCCACTGCACCACCAGGGAAGTCCCAAAGTACAATTAATTTTAGCTTAACTCCACTTTTGATCTTTCCCCTCCCACTCAAGATTTTTGGGAAAATTTTTTCCTATTTTTAGCCTCTCTTATACCTTTACTTTTTTACAAATTTACTTTTTTACAAATTTGTACTTTTTTACAAATTTAGCCTCTCTTATACCTTTACTTTTTTACAAATTTACTTTTTTACAAATTTTTTGCAAATTTGTAAAGTTTGTTGAAAGATAACAAACTTCACAATATACCAAAATAATACAGCTGAAAATTTAACTTTATTATTTTCCTACTTAAAAGTAATAGAGGGGGGCTTCCCTGGTGGCGCAGTGGTTAAGAGTCCGCCTGCCAATGCAGGGGACACGGGTTCGAGCCGTGGTCCGGGAAGATCCCACATGCCGTGGAGCAACTAAGCCCGTGCACCACAGTTACTGAGCCTGCGATCTAGAGCCCACAAGCCACAACTACTGAGCCCGTGTGCCACAACTACTGAAGCCCGTGCGCCTAGAGCCCGTGCTCCGCAACAAGAGAAGCCACCGCAATGAGAAGCCCACGCACCGCAACAAAGAGGGGCCCCCGCTCCCTGCAACTCGACAAAGCCCGTGCACAGCAACAAAGACCCAATGCAGCCAAAGATAAATAAATTTATAAAATAAAAAGCAATAGATACTCCTTATATCATAAAAGGGGTGCACAAACGGTATAAAGAAGTTAATTTTCAAATTACCTGTAATCCCATCCCAGAGAAAACTATTAACATTCTGGCACATTTCATCTCATCAGTCTTTCCTATGTATTTTTGAATGCAGCTCAGATATTACCATATATAAAGTCTTATATCCAGCTTTTTCAACATAACATTATATTAAAATTATTTTTCTCTTATCTATAAAAATCCTCTTTGTAAACATAATTTTAATGGCAGAGTAATATTCCATCATATGGATATACTATCATTTATTTAAACATTCTCTTAATATCAAATACTTAAAGGACAGTTGGTGGGTCAAAGCACATAAAAATTAAGACAGCTCTGTTTCCTGGAGAGGTTGTTCTTGAGAACACGGGGAGGGGATACAGGGAGACGGTAAGGGTTGGGGGAGGGGTCCAGGCCAGCAGTGAGAAGGAGCGGCTCAGAGGTCCTGGCCCAGCCATTCCAGTTCATTCAGCAGGAAGTCCATATCTGCCCGTGTCAGCGCAGGGTTGGCCACGACCATGCGAAAGAAGTTGCCCCGGGTACCGTGGGGCTGGTAGCCAATCATCATGGAGCCCTTCCTCACCATGCGCTCCTTGAGGATTGGGGCCACCTGTGGGAGGAGTGGAGCGACCTTCCAGCTGCAGCCTGGGGTCAGGTGAGGGGGTGGGCTCCCCAACTTGCACCTCCCTCCACCCAGACACCTTCCAGAGACAGCAACTCACAGCTCAGATCCTGACGTGGCCCCAGTTTACCCTTGCCACCACATCCAGCCCACTGGACCTTCTCTACCTCCTGCATTCTCTCACGTCTCACCATTCTCCACGTTACCACATGGGCCATTTTCTGTTAAATCCTGACTTTTCACTGAATCTCAACACTGCTTTTTCAGTCTAACTTCAAGCCTGCATCATCCTCGACGCCTTTTTCTCCCCTCTCTGAATTCCTATAACATTTTTGATGTTTCGTATCATCTGCAGCACCTAGTACCGATCTGTGCGTAGCGACCAGGACATACCTCCTGGCCTGACAGGGTTGCTCTGCCCACAGCATTAGTGAGCAAAACTCCAAGATCTTTCTGCCTCACATCTCTGTCCTGGGCCTGAGCTCCCAGCAGAATGCCCCACACCATGGATCTATGTACTGCACACTGGTGACTCTTCTTGTAATGCCCCTCTCCGTCTTCTTCTTACTTTCCAGAAGCATACCTCATCCCCCATTCCCAGGCTCACAGAAGTGAGGACAAGTGGGTGTCCTCTTCCCGTTCACGGTCCCCACCTCAGGAGCAAGAGACTAGCCAAGGGAACTGCCATGCCATTCACAGCCAGCAGGGGGCGGAAACACACCAGCTGCATCGGTTCCCTAATGGGTTAACCAGAGCAGGGAGGAGACTGCCTACCTTAGCCAGCCTTTCACCGTAATCCGGACTCCCCTTCTTCTCCCGCAGACTGGGGGGCACGAACCAGAAACACACGTTGACAAATTCAGGCTGCCAGGAATGAGGAAGAGGGAGGTGTGAGCTGAGGAAGGGGGACCGTTCCCCTCTCGCTGCCCCTTTTCCCCAACCAGGGCTCTGCTGGGGAAGAAGGGCAGTGAGAGGGGAACGGTGGGGGGACGGGGGATGAAAAAGAGCACAAGGTCGGTCGCACCTCCATGACCAACTCAAAAGCTTCCCGCTTCTTCAATTCCTCCACCAGGTACCTGTGAACACACAGTGAGACATCACGGGTGGAGGAGGAAAGGCTGAGGTACAGAAACCACCCAGAGAGTGAGTCAAGAGACATTAAGAGCAGGAAAGGGGTGCAGGGCTGGAGCCCGGAGAGGGGAAACGGGACTGCCCCCACTCCTACCGGGCAAGGGCAAAGGCCTGGTCCACGCGCCGCTCCAGCGCCTGCCCGCCCTGTGCCTTCCACATGAGCCACAGCTTCAGACAGTCCACGCGGCGGCCACACTGCACCACCTTGTCTCCAGTGTCCAGAGCCACATCGTAGAACTTGTCCTGCTGGAACAGGTAGCTGGCCTGGGACCCGTGGCAGCGCTTGAGCAGGTTCTGTGGAGGGTGAGGAGACAGTCAGACCCACCCTCCCCGCCGAGGTTTCCTCCAGAGCTGCACTGGGCCATTTCTTAGCTCAGTCCACATGCTTCTTTCCCTGGAACCAGGCGGCACTGATGGGACGGCTGCCAGCTGACTGAAACTCTCTCTCTGGGTTTTCTTCCAACACTCAGAGTTCTTCCCAAATGACCCAGGATCCCCCCGATTACGACTTAAGCTGGGAACTTTTTCCTTTGCATGAAGACAGGGGAGTGAGGGAGCCCACTACAGGGGATTAGGGTGGTCACAGATATTCAGCTTCAGATGGCATGGTAAGGAGAACGTGGTAAGGCCAGGAGCTCCTCTCAGGTGGGACAGAAAAGAAGACAGAGGTCCAAGGTGGGAGCTGGTGCCAGGGCGGGGGAGGGGCAGACCCACCGAGGTGTCCCGAAGAAGAAGAGCTGAGCACTGCAGGCCTGCGGAGAGGAGCTTGTGGGGATTCCAGGCCACGGAGTCAGCCCTGGGGTGGGCACAGCAAAGCAGGGTCAGCTGGCTCCCCCGCAAGCTGCCCAACCAGAGCCCCAACCGTTCCAGATCTCCAGTATGAGGGGCTTCGGTCTCACCCCGGCCCAGCAGAAGAATTTCCAGGTCTGACGTCTGACCTCCCAGCCCCAATCAACCATCTCTCCAATCTCCCTCCTACCAGCCTCCGTCCCCTACCCCCATCTGAGCTCCCTGGTCCAAGACTGCTCTCTGGATCAAGGATTTGAAGGGTGAGATTCAGGGCGTAGGGGGCTGTATGCACCTCTGGATCCCATTCAGGAGATGTCTGTGTGTCTGTGACAGCAGGACGCTCCCTCCCCAGGCGGCCTGTGGAGCAAAAGGAACAATGTGGGCTTTGGCCTTGGCCTCAGTTCAGCCCACCCCATCCTCAGGCCTGAGTACCACTCACATCCACGTGCAGCCACAGTCCATGACGCTGGCACACGTCTGCAACTGCCTCCAGAGGGTCAAAGGCCCCCAGCACAGTAGTGCCAGAGGTGGCACTGACCAGGAATGGCACAGCACCCTGTGGCAAAAATGCAGAGGGAGAAAGAGGCTGTGAAGTCATCTCAAGAGCTACCCAGAGCCTGGTGCTGAGATCCAGCTCTATAAACTCTTCACATGCCTGACCTGGGCCCTTGCAACCTTACAACGTGTTACTGTCCCCTTTAATTTGCAAGTGAGGACACTGAGATTCAGAGGAGTTAAGAAACCTGCCCCCAAGCTGAAACTCCAGAGATGGAATTCAAACCTAGGTCTGTCTGATAGTCTATTTCCAAAGTTCATACTCTCTCAACAAAGTTGAATGCCTTACTGGAAGATCAAAATGCTATTTTAAATTTCCTAATAGTACAAAAGTTTATGAGGAACTTGAATTAGTATTCAAAGAACTACTACAAAGAAAAACGCAGGCCCAGATGGCTTCACTGATGAGTTGTACAAAACATTAAAAAAAGAATTGATACCAGCTAGGGCTTCCCTGGTGGCACAGTGGTTAAGAGTCCGCCTGCCAATGCAGGGGACATGGGTTCGAGCCCTGGTCTGGGAAGATCCCACATGCCGCGGAGCAACTAAGCCCGTGCACCACAACTACTGAGCTTGCGCTCTAGAGGCCGCGAGCCACAACTACTGAGCCCACGTGCCACAACTACTGAAGCCCGCGAGCCTAGAGCCCGTGCTCCGCAAGAAGAGAAGCCACCGCAATGAGAAGCCCCACACTGCAGCAAAGAGCAGACCCCGCTCGCCGCAACTAGAGAAAGCCCGCGTGCAGCAACAAAGACCCAACGCAGACAAAAATAAACAAATTTAAAATAAATAAATTTTTTAAAAAAAGAATTGATACCAGCTCTTCATCAGCTTCCAAAAAAAAAAAAAAGAAGAGGAGGGAACACTTCTGAATTCATCCTATGAAGTGATTATTACCCTGATACCAAAACCAGACAAAATATCACAAGAAAACTACAGAATATATCTCTTCTAAATATAGACATAAAAATCTACAAAACACTAGCAAAATAAAATCAGCAACATATAAAAATAATTATACACCATGACAAAGTGGGATTTGTCCCAAGAGTGCAAGCTCGGTTTAACATCCAAAAATCAATTAACGTAATACATCCTATCAGTAGAATAAACGAAAAAAACCCACATCTCAATGTGGTTTATTGATCATCTCAGTAGACACAGAAAAACATTTGACAAAATCCAACACTCCTTCATGATATAAACACTCAAAAAACTAGGATTTGAAGGGAACTTCCTTAACCTGATAAAGGGCAACTACAAAAAACCCCACAGCTAACATCATACTCAATGGCGAAAGACTGAAAGCCTTCCCCCTAAGATCAGGAACAAGACAAGGATGTTCACGCTCCTCATTTCTATTCAACATTGTGCTGAGGTTCTAGCAGGGCAATCAGGTAAAAAAAAAAATAAGAGCCATCCAGATTGGAAAGGAAAAGAGCAAAATTATCTGTATTTACAGATAACATTATATTATACCGAGTAAATCCTAAGGAATCCACTAAAAAAAATGATTAGAATTAATACATGAGTTCAGCAAGTTCGCAGGGTACAAGATCAATATTCAAAAATCAGTTGTATTTCTACACATTAGCAGTGAACAATCCAAAAATGGAATTAAGAAAACAATTTCATTTATAAGAACATCGAAAACAATAAAATACTTAGGAATAAATTCAACAAAAGAAGTGCAAAACATATACTCTGAAAACTACAAAGCACTGTTGAAAGAAATCAAAGAAGACCTAAATGGAGGCATTCCATGTTCATGGATCTACAGATTGAACACATCCCTATCAAAATCCCAGTTGGCTTCTTTGCAGAAATTGACAAGCTGATGCTAAAATTCAAATGGAAATTTAAGGGACCCAGAAAGCCAAAACCATCCTGAAAAAGAACAAAGTTGGAGGACACACATTTGATTTCAAAATTTACTACAAAGCTATATTAAGACAATGTGGTCTATAGGATAGACATGCAGATCAATGGAATACACCGAGAGTCCAGAAATAAATCCTCACACTTACAATCAATGGATTTTAACAAGGATGCCAAGACAATTCATTGGGGAAAGAACAGTCTTCTCAAAAACCGATGCTGCAACCATTTGCATGTGGAGATATATACATATTTTTTTAATTTATACTTAAATACATAGTTGAGGCATTTTCATGTTAACATATATATTCCCATCTTATTCTTTTAAATGGCTGCATACTACTCCAATAATAACAATAACAACAATGGCAGCTAATATTTATACACTGCTTCACTGTTCTAAGTGCTTGACGCATAATTCATTTAAGCCTTACAACAACCCTACAAGTTCTATATTATGCTCATCTTACAAAGGAAGAAACTGACACAGATACATCATAATTTATCTATTGATGGATATTTAAAATTTTTTTTTAAATTTTACACTTCGCTCCAGTGCACACAATTCTAAGCACTTGTGATGATGATTTATAGACTAATCCTAGCAGCAGGACACAGAGTCCATGGATAGATACATTTAAAAATGGTATAGGACTTCCCTGGTGGTCCAGTGGCTAAGACTCCGTGCTCCCAATGCAGGGGGCTCGGGTTCGATCCCTGGTCAGGGAACTAGATCCCACATGCCACAACTAAGAGTTCACATGGGACTTCCCTGGTGGCGCAGTGGTTAAGAATCCGCCCGCCAACGCGGGGGACATGGGTTCGAGCCCTGGTCCGGGAAGATTCCACATGCCGTGGAGCAACTAAGCCCGTGCGCCACAACTACTGAGCCTGAGCTCTAGAGCCGCGAGGGGGAACCCTGTGCCACAACTAGTGAAGACCGCACGCCTAGAGCCTGTGCTCCACAACAAGAGAAGCCACCACAATGAGAAGCCCGCACACCTCAAAGAAAAGTAGCCCCCTCTTGACACAACTAGAGAAAAGCCCTCACGCAGCAACGAAGAACCAATGCAGCCAAAAATAAATAAATAAATTTTAAAAAAAAACAGAGTTCACATGCCGCAACTAAAAGATCCTGCATGCCACAACTAAGACCCGCAGCAGCCAAATAAATAAATAAATAAGTAAATAAAAATGGTATAGGTAGTGCTGAAATGCCCTCCAAGACGGCTGCAGCAGCTCCCATGTTCCCTAGTGCGGAGGGGCTTGCAGGGGCCTCCACATCTCCCATTGCTCCAAGTCCACATTGCTCACCACTGGCCCGCACATCTTCCTGAACTTCCTGCACAGACCCTGCCAGCTCACAGAAACCTTCTGTGCTACACCATCCAACACAGGGAGGATGTCCCCAACATCCTGCGGTGCCCCTTGGGACTCCACTCAGTGCATCAGCCCTACCCCTGCCCTGGGATCCGATACTGCCCATGGGTCTCAGCAGGACTACAGTGTCCTTGCTCCCCAGGCATCACTTCAGCCCACCAGGGAAATGGGCACAGAGATGAAGGGGAGGGATGAGGGGACCCTTGAGTAGGCACAGGCCAAAGAACTCTCCAAGAAAGGAACAGAAGGGTCCTGTTCCACTGCCTCAGCACCCCTCACTCACTCACCTCAGCCTCGGCCAGACCGATCTGCCTCTCCAGATCCTCAGGGATCATTTTCCCTCTGGAAAAGAAAACTTAGTGGGTAGGGGAGTAATAGGTTCTCTAGGCTGGGCGGCAGATCTGTCGAGAGCAGGGTAATGTGCGGTTAGCAATGCAGAGGCCACAGTGTTGATTTTTCCCTAAGAGGGGTAAACAGATCTCAGGGGACAGGGCGGAGACTCTAGCAGGCACTGGTAGACAGCAGAGGCAATTCGGTGGGAACAGAGCAGGGAGAGAAGTCCGCCGGGGTGTGTGCCAGAGGCCAGAGCCCCTGGCAATGAGAAGGCACACTGCGCCAGGCTGGGTCTGAGACACACAGACAGAAGGACCTTCACCTCTCATCTGCCTTGACCATTCGGACACTGTCGGTGCCAAGTCCCAGAAAAGCAGCTCCTTTCTTGACAGAGTAATGACACTGTGGAGGAAGGCAGAGGGCAGGAGGGTGGGGAGGAGAGAGACTGGTCAAACAGATGAGACCCTGTAGACCAGGGCTTCTGAAACACTCATGGGCCTACAGATCACCAGTGTGTCTGGCGAAAATGCAGATTCATATTCAGTAGGTCTGGGCTGGGGCCTGAGATTCTGCATTTCTAACAAGCTCCCAGGTGATACTGATGCTGCTGGCCCATGGCCCATACTCTTAGCAGAAAGGGTGTGGACCGTGTACACTGCCCTGGATGCCCCTCTGCTACCCCCACACAGAAGGCAAGGTGAACAGGGAGTGTTTACACAGCCCCCTTGGTTGGAAGGAAGCACATCCGCCTGGGGGCAGGCTGGTCTCGGAAGAGATGCATCTGAGCAGGCAGAGGATCTGACAGGTCTCGGACTCAGCTGGCTGGAGATTAGAATCGGGGAGCCCAGGGTAGGCCTGTGCCTCTTCCCACCTCCTTTGATGTGAAAAGGGCCAGGGGCGGCAGTGCCCAGAGGCCCCTGTGTTTGCAATCCGGGTAGCGCTGATAGCGGGCCAAGTTCACAGCATACATGTTGGAGATGGAGCCACCTGTCACAGGGAAGGGGTGGTGGCAAGAGGGAGGGGCAGTGGGTCAAAACTGGAGCTTGGCTCTCTTGACCTCTCCACCCAGAAGAACTGATCAAAGAAGCACGAGTGATTGGCTACCAGGCCACGAGTTCTGAGGGCTCGACAAATGGCAGGCTGGTAACCCAGACAGCGGGATCTGCAGATCCCGACCCCCCCCTCCTTATCCGGGGCTGATCCCAGGATCCACCACCCCACCCCACCCCACCCCCCGCCAGGACAGCAGGCACTGATGCCATGTATTGTTTGGCAAACACGAGGATACAGGGGACTGGGCAGCTTCTCTCTGGTTTGGCCCAAGCCCAGCTGGAGAAGAAACAAAGAAGAATCACACCTCCCTGCCAGCTTACAGCAAGAGAACAGTGGGGAAGGAGGAACCTTTGAAAAGGCCAAAGAAAGGCCCCCCTCCTGTTTACATACCAGGGCAGAAGACGCCGTCCCCAGAGCTCCAGCCCACCAGGGCCCGGAGTTTCTTCAGCACCTCTTCCTCCATGAGGACAAACACAGGGGCAATCTCATATGTGTACCTGCCAGGAGAGGGAATGATGAGAACGGGAAAGAGACAGGGAGAGACTCTGCGAGGAGTTGCAGAGAGGAGGTGGACAGAGTGAGTGAGAGGAGGGTCCAAAGAGAGGGCTGAGTTGGTGAAAAAGAACCAGGGAGGAAAAGATGAGAAAGAACTGGAGCCAGGAGGCATGAGAAAGCTTGGGAAAGGAAGCCCAAAGGGTACGAGGGGAAAGGCTCTGCCAGCAGAGTTCCCAGAAAAGACAGGGGGGCAAGCACCATTCTCCTCTCCTACCCAGAGTGTGTCTCCCACAAACCCAAATCCTTTCGGGGTGGTGCAAGGGGGCCCTGGGATGGCTCACTGGCTGGTGTTGAGGCTCTCAGTGACAATGCGCCCGGCCAGGGCATGAGGATCCAACCCTGAGAAGAGCTGGTTGAAGAATCGAGGGTGACCTGGAGAAGGGGGATGGGGGCTCAGAGTGGAGCTGGGTACAAATTCTAGACGCGCCTCCCCGCAGGACCCAGGACCCACAGGTCTTCACACTGTAGCGGATCACAGCCCGGCAGCGCTCCAGGATCTGCTCCTGTGACTCCCCCTCATTCCGCAGCTCCAAATCCAGAAGCTGCTTCAGCTCCTCTGGCTCCCTCCACTCGCAGACCTAGGAGGAGAAGCGGGAGATTCTGGGGGCGCTGAGGCACCCCACTGACTGGCTGCCCAAACCACATCTCAGCAGACAGAAGACACCACCAAGCTGCACTTACGGCAAATTAGGAATATTTTCCAAGCAACACGTGAACAAGGGTAAATAAACACAGTCTGGCCCAGTATGTAATCCCTGAGGCACACAGTGAGAATGATGAATTCTGGGGAGAAGCCTGGACAGAGGAGGAAAGTTCTCAGCCAGGTTTGATGGGCAGGAGGAGGGGGGAGAAAAGACCCACCTTCTCGGAGGCACTGGTCCCTTTCCGAATGACCTCATCCAGCACAATCCCAAACACATCCCGGAGCAAGGCTTCTGCAGCCACGGCGTCCCCATCAAGGGAGAGGAGTGGTTGAGAGTCAGCCATCAGGAGAAAATCTGTGAGCAGAGCAGGAGTTTTTCCCTACTCGGCCTGGGGACCCCACCTGGACCTAACCAGCAAGAGCTTCAACTCCGTAATGGGCCTAAGGCCTAGCCCCAGCCTTCACTGTACAGATAAGGGCAAGTGAGAACGTCCAGGGAGAGAGCCAGCAGAAACAGGTGGGAAAGAAAAAGGCAATTAGTGCTGAACAGGTAGAATCCAGTGGCCACTGCTCAGCAAAGGCAAAGGTGAGAAGCTTACCTTTCTGCTCAGGTCTTCGTCCAGGTGAGCTGGAAGCAGGGGACACAATTGGCTTTTTAGAGTGTTAGGACCAGGGCAGCAGAGGGAGCAAGGTATAGGCAGCAGTCACATGGCCATGACATCATTCTCATGACCCTTGCCCTAAAGATTTGGGATAGGGCCAGCAGGTTGAGATAAGTTTCCTGAATAACCATTAGCTGACATGAAGAAGGGGGGAGATGAGATGTAAGGCAAAAACACATGCCACCTTCACTTAAGCTGGAGAGGAGCAGAGAAATGGTTTAGGCAGGCCTGAGAGGCCGATCTCTTTGCATCCCAACCCCCAGAGTCTTCTCAGAACTGTCCTGATTTCTAAAGCCCTCTTCTCCAAAGAGCAGGAAGAAAAGGAGGCCACACTGAGCAGGCAGACCGTTAAGTAGTTAAGTATAATCCTGTGCCTTGAAGGTTGAGAGTGCTCAAGAAACAGGGAGTGGCTGTTTGTTTTTGTTTTTGTTTTGTTTTTTTGCAGTACGCGGCCATGGCTCACGGGCGCACGAACCCGTGTCCCCTGCATCGGCAGGCGGACTCTCAACCACTGCGCCACCAGGGAAGCCCGGGAGTGACTGTTTGAAGTGAGCACCAACTGTGTTCACACCAGGGTGCCGGGGTTGGTGGGCGGGGGAGGATGAACACTGATGCACGTGCAACAGTGACAGCCCAGGGCACTGGCGAGATGCCGATCCCAAGCGCTATTCAGGAGAAGAGAGGGATGAAGGCTGAAGCCTGAGGAGGATCTGCAGTGGGACTGGGGCTGCAACTTGAAAGCAGGCAGGAGAAACAGGACTGGAGAAAGGGAGGAAGAGAGGCATTCAGGGACAGGGGGGAATGCCATGAGCTTACATCAGGAATGAGTATGGCTGATTCTCAGGTCAGTGAAGGTGTCTGGCTGGCTGGAGAGAAGGTCTGCAAGGACGACATGGGAGCAAAGGCAGGGTGGGCAGAGCTGCACGAGATTATGAAGAGCCTTGAGTGCCAGCCAGGCCAAGAATCTAGATTTTATCCTGCAGAAAATGGAAAGCCACTGAAAGATTCTGTGGCAAGGATTAATGTGATGAAAACAATGCTCTCAGAAGACCAGTGTATAGCAGATGGATGCAGAAGAATGAACAAGCCATTGCTGTAAACCAGGAAAGAGGTGAGCCGCACGTGAATAAGGGTGGTGTCGCTAGGGAAGGACACATAGAGGAATATGCAGGTTTAACCACTTGCTGGATTATACTCAATTCAACACTTACGGAATCTACATTGGAGGGGATGGAAGGGTCAAGGATGACCCTGGGGTTTCAAGCCTGGGTGACTGGAAAAATAATGGTGCCCGTAAAAGAAATAGGGATGCGGAAAGTGGAGGCTGGATGGAAAGTAAGATTGTTATTTCTTGGAAATACTCATCTAAGTGGAGGTGTCCAGGGCTACAAGTACACATATGGGAGGAAGTCAGGTCCAGAGCTCTGCTGAGATGCAGGAATGAGAAGCAGACTCGAGAGGTGGGGCACAGCTGAAGCCTTGTGATGGGCTCCATTCCCCAGGGTAGAGAACGCTCACAGAGATGGCCAGGGAGAGAGGGGCAAACACCAAGGCCTGGGGAACCCGCCAAATGAGAGGGTAAGAGGATCCAGGAAACATGGAACGGAAGGAATCTTCCTCTGGTATAATCCACTGTCAGCAGCCACTGGACCCCAAGCTAGTTGAAAACGCAGGTCCAAGGGACCCCAGTGGTCCTATCCTTAAACTTCTCCTCAGTAGATTGGGTTTTGGGAAACTAGGGGAACTGACTCAGCCTTGAGAATAAAACTCAATCCTTCATCAGTGCTCACTCTGGCTCCCCTGACAGGTAGCAGCAGTGGGGCGTTTTAGGTGGAAAGGCTAGAAGGAGAGAGGCTAATAAAAATAGGCACCATGGAAGTACTTACCACATGCCTCATTCTGTACTTAACATGCATCATTCTCATCTTCACAACCACTGAAGTTTATGACCCACATTTAAAGATGAGGAAACAGATTTCAGAGACACTACGTATGTAACGTGTCCGGGTCATGCAGCCAGTATGTGGCTGAGCTGGGTCTGGACAAGGGTGTGTGGGGCTCTGAAGACCCCTCCCCTAATCACCGGGCTCCACCACCTCATGCGGGGCTCCCTCAGCCACTGAGCTTGCTATGGCACAAAGGCTTCTGGGCCAGGAGTGAGTACACCTCAGGGCCTCAGTTTCTGTAAAATAAGGGATTTAAAGAGAGAACCTCCAAGGTATCTGTGGGTGTTCATCAGCTCAAGCTGTCGGATACGGCAAGCAGGCCAGGGGAGTGGAAAACAGGTTGCAAGGAGGGAACGACTGGTGAAGAAAGAGAGACCCCAGGCTGGAGGAAGGCTTTTCCCAAAGCTCTGAAGAGAGGTCTGCAGGGAAGGCATGGCTCTGTCCACCCGGCCCCTTCTGTATCCATCCCACCAAAGTCACCACTCAGAAATGAAAGGTGGGGACTTCCCTGGTGGCGCAGTGGTTACGAATCTGCCTGCCAATGCAGGGGACACGGGTTCGAGCCCTGGTCTGGGACTCCACATGCCATGGAGCAGCTAAGCCCACGAGCAACTAAGCCCGTGAGCCACAACTACTGAGCCTGCGTGCCACAACTACTGAAGCCTGCGTGCCTAGAGCCCGTGCTACACAACAAGAGAAGCCACTGCAATGAGAAGCCCACGCACCACAACGAAGAGTAGCCCCGCTCGCCGCAACTAGACAAAGCCCGCACACAGCAACGAAGACCCAGTGCAGCCAAAAATAAATAAATAAAATTTTTTAAAAAAAAGGGCTTCCCTGGTGGCGCAGTGGTTGAGAGTCCGCCTGCTGATGCAGGGGACACGGGTTCGTGCCCCGGTCCGGGAAGATCCCACATGCCGCGGAGCAGCTGGGCCCGTGAGCCATGGCCGCTGAGCCTGCGCGTCTGGAGCCTGTGCTCCACAATGGGAGAGGCCACAACAGTGAGAGGACCGCGTACCGCAAAGAAAAAAAAAGAAATGAAAGGTGGAGGCAAGGGCTCTGAACACCCCCAGTTTCCTCCGGGGTAAACAGGGAGGTGAGGCATCCCTACCCTCACGCCCCATACAGAATCCTGTCCTGGGGACCTGAGAGAGTTTTCCTTTTTCAAATCAAGGACAGTAACCCCCAAGATAGAATGATAAAGCAAAGAAACATGAATAAACTTAGGAACAGCACTTTCGCCCCTGGCTGAGAAGATGCTGGAAGGACCAAGTAGGGTTTGTTTAAAAATTGACAAGTTTTGTATGGACACCAAGGGGGGAAAGTGGTGGGGGGTGGGGGGGTGGGATGAACTGGGAGATTGGGATTGACATATATATACACTAATATGTATAAACTAGATAACTAATAAGAACCTGCTATATAAAAAAATAAATAAAATAAAATTCAAAAATTCAAAAAAAAATTGACAAGTTTTTCTTACTTCATGGGATCTTTAGTTCATAAACTCCTTCAGCCATCAACTCCCTTGTATCTTTCTTTCCTTCAGTTACACAACCTAGATTGTATGGTCTGTTGTTTCAACCACTCTTTGTCCAAAATCCTGAACTCCCTGGCCCTAATGTCCTTCCACCAAATCCACCTGGCAAAACCCCAATCCAACTGGCCAGTCCTCCTCTTACCAAATCCACCAGGACTGCTGAATTCTGCTAGTGAAAACCACCTAACCATTCAAATTGGTTTTGCTATAAGTTCATGGTCTCTGTGCTCATTCCAATAAAACTCACCAGATTAAATGCATATGTTTACCACTACTCCTTCCTGAAACCCCTCTAAATTATATCAGTGGAATTTTAAATTCAGAAGAATAAAGCAGGGCTTCCCTGGTGGCGCAGTGGTTGAGAGTCCGCCTGCCGATGCAGGGGACGGGGGTTCGTGCCCCGGTCCGGGAGGATCCCACATGCCGCGGAGCGGCTGGGCCCGTGAGCCATGGCCGCTGAGCCTGCGCGTCCGGAGCCTGTGCTCGGCAACGGGAGAGGCCACAGCAGTGAGAGGCCCGCGTACCGCAAAAAGAAAAAAGGAAGAATAAATCAGATGAGAGACAAGAGGTGAGAGATGTGAATAACTGCAGGAGATAGAAAGCAGATGAGAAGTGGTAACTGGTTCAGCAAATGCAAAAAGTTAAAGCCACTCTGTCTGCAGAGGGTTATGCCAACAGGATATAAGCTGGTTCTTAGGGCAGAAGCCCAGAAAGGCTCAGGAATTTACAACAGTAGCTACCTGGGAAGCCAGGAGGAGGAAGCACAGCTAAAAACGTGGAAATTAGATGAAAATTTATACAAGGAACATTTAGGCCCTCACCCTTCTCCCCCTGCCCGTTCAGCGAGGCAAGTCCCCTCTCCTCCACCTGATTCCAAAGAAGCAGGAAGTCCGTTTTCTAGAGAAACTGAAATGGAGCAGCTGGGACTTAGGGATGCCAAGCACAGCAGAAGTTGAGGAGGAGGCACTGTACTGAATACAAGAGGATTAGCAGGAAGTATCCAGTCAAGTCCTTTCTCCCAATCAGTGTTCAGAACCAGTGGCCTGGGATACACCTTCCAGGGCCAGGAGACTAGAGGATTCCTCTCTGAAGAAACTGACCTCAATAGCCCTAGAGAAAAGACCTGACACTCTTATTTCAGTCCTCGCCCAATCACCTAGTCAGTGATGCCCACAAGTCAATAAATACATCCTTTCTATGCACTTGGGCCTTCCAAT